AGGCAGAAATCAGGGGCGGGTCCCAGCCGCCTGTAGCACGGATCTGGCCTGACGCCCGAGGCAGCCTGCGAGATGCCTGCTCACAAAATTTAAATTGTGCTAGGCCTCTAGTAAACAAATAAACAAACCAACCAAGAGACCTACAACTATATTTGTGGGGAAAAAAGGAAATTAGGAAGAAAAATTCTGCTTTTCAAAGTAGTGATCTTTCATTCTTTCTTCCTTTCTTGTGTACATGTGATTTAAATTTTAAATAGTTAATACAATCATAAGATTCAATAACTAAAAATATACAGTGTTTAAATAAGCAATAACTTCTTTAGCTTTTTTTATCAGACAAACCTACTGACAAAATTGTAAATTCAAGTCCATGGGTCACTTAACATTTGCTTTCACCATATATCTATAAATGTTTTAATGTTTTTTGTATTGATTTATTTTCACTGTATTTCTGTCAGGATTCTAATAAAAAAATCTACTAGGTGCCTGCCAGCCCTGGTGAGAATGCCAACAGAGAATGTGGGCTGGGCATAAGTCAGACACAGCTTGCAGTTCTGGCAGGGACGCTGGCCTGTGGCTTGAAATCGCAGGCCCTACACATGAAAGTTTGTGCACAGCCACCTTCTTCCCCTTAGTCCAGCACACAACAGAATGACGTGGGATACAACCTGGTGGTTCATTTAGAAACATTATGAACTTTTATTTCTGTCACAAGTTGTCTTTTGAAGAAGTTTGAATTTAGCAATGAATGGGATAGAATCTTTGAAATTATAAAATGTAGTGCTCATCTTGCATTTTATGGGATGCTTGAGACAAATCAGGAGGAAGGGGAAGGGAGACAGGGAGCAGTGCAGAATTCCTCAGGAGCAAGGATTGCCTAGAGGTTGACCGCCCCTCTTCCTCACACATGCCAACTTAGGGAAATGCCATGGAGATGAGTCACCACAAGTAGATGAGACTGTTTTATTCGGGATTCCCCTTAAGCAGGCGTGGAGACAAGAGATCGAGTGCAGGTAGTTATTTGAGAGGTGATCCCAAGAAGCCCACGTAAGGGAGAGGGAAAGTGAAATGAGGAAGGGAAAAGCCAATACAGGGTGAGTTATGTGTGAGTTACTACTGTGGGCGACTGGTGCTCAGTCCTGCCGGGGACCGTCCAAGAATCCGTGTAGTATCCACCTCAGGAATGGCCCAGTGAAAGACAAAGAGTTGGCTATTTGCCCAGCAATTCCTGTCAGCACACTTCTCCCTCACATCTGGGTTATGCCTGACCTGGATCCAGCAAAGTCCTAAGGTGCAGAAGAAAGCCTTCAGACTGCGAAGCTGAGCAATGCAGGTGCTCAAGATGGAAAATCACCTCCATGGTTGCAGGTGAACTCGGAAGAGAACCAAGGGGATGTAGGATAGGGCAGCATTGGTGTCTGGTGCAGTTGAGACAAAGTGGTTACCTTCTAGTGTCATTCCACTAGATAACCGGCACAGATACCTTTCTTCTGGACTGCCGGGTTCGCCGGGCACAGGCATATTTCTACGAGGCTCTGCAGGGTCCATTGTCTGCAACAACAGAGCAGGATTTTTCCCCCCCTGTTAGTCACATGTTCAATGAAGTAAGTGGAGAGCACAGGCTATCAGGCTAATGGAGATAAAGAAATGAGGCACCAGAGACAAGTCAAACCTAATTTAGATATAATTTAAAGCCCTTCTTGATACCATATCTGTTCTGGGTTCTATGGTTCTTGGGTCTGGCTTTTTCTCTTCATGCAATGCCAAGGGAAATGAATGTAATCTATAAAATGTTGTTACACTTTTGATATGATAGTTCATTATTTTTTAAAAAATATATTTTATTGATTTTTTACAGAGAGGAAGGGGGAGAGATAGAGAGCTAGAAACATCGATGAGAGAGAAACATCGATCAGCTGCCTCCTGCACATCTCCCACTGGGGATTGGCCCGCAACCCAGGTACATGCCCTTGACCGGAATCGAACCTGGGACCCCTCAGTCCGCAAGCCGATGCTCTATCCACTGAGCCAAACTGGTTTTGGCGTTTATTATTTTTTAATCAATCCAATTCACCAAGTTTTTACTTAAAATGTAATTTATTTCCAATTTATTGAGAAATATCCCCATATCATGGAGGTCTCTGGAGAGGACAATGAGTCACTGGCACCTGCCACATCTCAGTGTTATTATTCTGGGCTCCACTTGGCTCTCCTAGTTTCTTTGGTGAGGGAGTGTTTCTTTACTTACCGCTATCATATCTATTGCTGCCCAACTTTTCTTTAAAAAACAACAGCATTGCTGAAACCGGTTTGGCTCAGTGGGTGGAGCATCGGCCTGGCCTGCGGACTGAAAGGTCCCAGGCTCGATTCCGGTCAAGGGCATGTACCTGGGTTGCGGGCACATCCCCAGTGGGAGATGTGCAGGAGGCAGCTGATCGGTGTTTCCCTCTCATCGATGTCTCTAACTCTCTATCCCTCTCCCTTCCTCTCTGAAACAGATCAATAAAATATATTAAACAACAACAACAACAGTATTGCCTGGTATTATAGACTGAATATTTATTTATGTTTCCCTTCCTTTCCACAAATTCCTATATTGTAACCTAATTCCCAATGTGATGGTGTTGGAGGTGAAGTCTTTTGGGGATGATGGGGTCATGAAGGTAGAGCCCTCATGAATGAGATTAGTGTCCTTAGAAATGAGATCGCAGAGATCTCCCTGACCCCTCGGCCACATGAGGACACAACAGGAAGATGCCCGTCTATGAACCAGGAAGAAGGTCCTCACCAGACACTGAATCTGCTGGCACCTTCATCTTGGACTTCCTGCCTCCAGGGGTTTTCTGTGTTTATAAGCCACCCAGACTATAGTAATCTGTTACAGCAGCCTGAATGGACTAAGATGCTTTGTTTTTTTTTTCAGGTTTTGCCTGTTTTCTTTTGTTTTCCAAAATTATATATATATCTATCTATCTATATAAAAGGCTAAGTGACGTCTGACCATCTGACCTGTAGCTATGAAGTGCAATGATCACCAGGGGGCAGACACTCAATGCAGGAGCTGCCAAGCTGCAGTGACTTGGCAGCTGCGATTCTTGGGTGATGCACCCCAGAACCAGAGAGAAGGGAGCCCGATTCAGGGTGCATCACCCGAGAACCACCCTCTTGCAATCTGGGACCACTTGGGAGATGTTGGAGAGTCAGTTTCAGCTGGATTCCCCCAGGCCAGGCCAAGGGACCCCACCTGCCAGGGGGGAACCAGCTCACTCCACAGACGCCCTTCCCTGGCACCAACCCAGGTGCGGCTGGCTGGAGAGGGACCGAGGGAGGTTGGCTCCAGGGCAGGCCCATCTCGCCCAGTTCCACCCCACCGGCCACCTTCTAATTAATTTCTTTTCAATGTGCATAAATCTGTGCACCGGGGCACTAGTGTATATATATAAATGATAACTTTATATTTTTAGGTTCATAACAAAATTGAGTAGACAGCACAGAGAATTTGCCATATACCTCTCCCCCACCAATTTATAGCCTTCCCTTGAGTGGTACATTTGTTATAATTGATGAATCTACATTGACACATCACTACCACCCAAAGTCCACAGTTTACCTTAGAATTCATGCTTAGTGTTGTACATTCTATGGGTTTTGACAAGTGTATAATGACATGTATTCACCAAAATACAGAATAGTTTCACCCCCCTGAACCAAATTATATTTTAAAGCAAATACTATCAGGACACTTCCAAGGAAATATTCTGGGATTGGCCAGATCTTTCCTTTCATCAGCCAGGTCGATACGTGAAGCTCCAAATCTAAGTTTCTGCATATACACCATTTTGGAGATACTGCGTCATGATTCTTTAAATACTAATTTTCACATTTTCTGGGTATCTTCTTTAGAAAGAGACACACACACGTAGACAAATTGTGAACCAAGGTCGCTTTGCTATGGCAGATGAAATGCTCTTGATTCAAAGTGCAGACTGGGATATCCGTTTTAAATGCGGAGCGTGTCTGGTAATCCCCAGTGCGGGAGTGCCCTGTGCTTAGGTCTGCATTTGGCTGGATTCCTCTGACCCAGAGCTCTAATCTGGGATGCCCAGCACTTTAGGAGGATGAGGACTCCTTAATCTCTGTCTTCAGACTCTTACCCTCAACAAACTCCTTCAGGCAGCATAAAGGAGACTTAGCTAGTGCTAATTCTGTCTCAACTGATTAGGGCAGCAGTAGTAAGACATGAACTTCATGAACCGAAGGCCTTGCCAAGTCAGCAGATATTTACTGAAAGCTTGCATGGCGCACAGTAGCCAGCTGAAAATCTGATTCTATTTCATTTTCTCACTGAAATAGAATGAAATGACTATTCATTAAAGCCAGTGCAATTTGAGTTTGGCCAAGTCTGATTTTGAGCAATTATATAGAAAATATTTGTTGCATCTATGATGCTTGAATTCTAGGATGTATTCATTCTAAATAAGTACATTTTAAAATAACTGCTGTATTTGGTAAGTTTTTACATTAAAAAGGAAGATTAGGAGGATCAAGTGTTTCTACAATTCTTGAAAAAAAAATAAATTCTTAAATTAAAATTAGAAGGAGATATCCTTAGAGGTCTTTTGTTTAAGGTATAAAACAATCTTCACATAGTCCTAAGTGTCCTATATTAATGAGAGTTCTGAAAAGCATGTTAATGCTAAAGCATATTTCACACTTCTTTAAGTATATTTTGGTTTTTAAAAATAATGCATGGGAAATCATTTTTAAAACTAGGAAGGCCAAAAGAGCTGCCCTAAAGCATTTCATTATCAAACAATATTTGTGCATTGGTGGGGATTGGCCGGCCCACCCCGATGGAGGCCCATTGGGCCAGGCCAGCGGGGGATGGAGGGTTGGGTGGCTGGCCCCGCTCCTGATTGGGGAGTTGGGAGCCAGGGTGGGGGTGGGGGTGCTGATTGGGGCCTGGATCAGGCTGGTTGGCTGCTGCAGTGCATGTCATAGCCACTGGTCGTTCTGGTCTTTCTGCCGTTCCAGTCGCTGGGCTTTTATATATATAGATACTTCTAACAGAAACATTAGCTGTGATAAAAGACATCATGCTACTTTCTCATAGCTATAG